AAAAAAAAAAAAAAAAAAAAGAAGAGAGAAAAGAGAAAACAGGTTTCGCGGTATAGCATTGAAGTTAAAAATTTCCGGATTAACGCCGGTCCAACACCCGCACCGAGCCCCCAACGAATTTATTAACTCGTGTCGTGCCGCACGCACGTGTTCACCGTTCATATCTTACGGCAGGCTTACGTCGAGAATTTCACGGCTGAGTGGGATCTGGTGGGTGCCAGGTTCCGAAACGAGCTTCCGGTATCACCATGGGACGCCATGAGATACGCCTGGGAATCCTGCGAGGCGTTGCTGCGCGACGCGCCGTCGGTAGCCAGCATGAGAAAACCGGATGGCGATCCGCACGCCCGATGGGATGTTGCGGTACTCGACGGAGCTTATCCCGAATGCATGTTGGGGATCCTGCACGGAGAGAATGTGCCGACGATAATGCTGAACACGGTAACAGGCCATTCGCCGTAATCGAGAAGCGATCCCTCGCAATATCCCGTTACCTGTTACGCTCTCTTCTCTACTGCGATAACGCTCCGACTTAGTCGAACTGATTAAACAAGAAAGACATTACGTTCTCTGTAAAAATTGCGATACAGCATTATACAACGCAGTTCTGCGTCGTATTTTTACTAGAGTCACCTTTTCTAGGAGTATTTCACAACCGTCATGATAAATGTATAGAATAAATAATATATAATAAATAATATTATATTCATTTCTCTTCGATATTTCATGGTCGCAACGTATTTTTTAATATATATGAAAAATTGACATTTTATATAACTAATTTATATTGTCCGACAGGAAATTAAATATATTGATGAACGGTTGCATATTTCTTGAAAGAAACTTAACAGTAGCTTCTGTAGAATATAAAATTTTAAATACTTGTCAGATCTTTCATCTGTTCTTCTGCTCTTCAATTCTCAAAGAAAATAATAACATAAAGCTTCTTTCTTAGTCTTTCATAGTCTTCTATGAAAATATAACAATAACAACGAGGAAAAGCAACATCTTCTCTACGAGCGCGGAATATACGCAAAATATATCTGTTTGTCTTATCCAAACGTTTCCATATAAATGAAAAGTAAACGATGAATACCGTTTTGTTTCGCTCGTGTGTAGCTTACAAAGCGTGAAGCATAATCTCATTTTCGAATAGCTGATTACGCGATTATGTTGAAACGATCTTAGAAATACGCCAATACTAATTGGGAGCCAAACGTTGGCTAGTTTGCATAAATTTCCTCGATATTTTCTCTCTTTTCTTTCTTAATTCATTCGATGACGTTGATGACGCATAATAATAAACAATCTTGTATAACAGTGGAGTAACGAAGTTACCCCTGCCGAGATGGAAAAGGCGATATCTACTGGTTTCTTCCTTTTCTAAAAATCGATATTCTTAGCTCATTAAAGTCATTTGCTTTCTCCGTGCACCGTTAATAACGAGAGCAATGTGATGTTATCTCGCAGGTGGCACTGTACAGCGGATCCATTATGCGACAGGGTAATCCATCACCGTGGTCAGTGACACCGTATTCGGTAAAGCGATCACGCAGGACATGACTTTCCTCCAAAGGGTCCTGAACACGGCGGCCCTGTTCACTCTGAAGATTATGCATTGGTTCACACTCTCGATTTATCTTCAGCCGACGCTCCAGCGATACCTCGGTGAGCAGCCACATTAGCTTCGGCTCCGTACGTCTCGTTCGACTCGTCGAACGAATTTTACCGCCAATTGTATGCTAATGCCGCGCGTGTATCCTGATCTTTAATTTCAATAATTACGTCGTATTTTACTTTTGACAGGTAATCACATACCCAACGATCTACATAGCCTGACGGCGGAGGTCCCCTTGACTTTGCAGAACAGCCATTACAGCGTGGGCGACTCCGTGCCCTACTTGTCGAATGTCGTAAACGTGGCGTGTCTTCACTGCAGGCCGGCGATGCAATTAAGTTCCGACTTAGAATCCTTCCTGCGGCACGGTAATTTCGCCATTTCTCTTTCGCGAGAGATTTACATCACTCTTAATGGTTCAATTGTCTCAAAATGCCTAAAACTTTTGTGTCACAAAATTCCGTTTACGACGATCAAATGACGTCACTTAAAACTTCTTTTATGTTAATTCAACTTAACTCTTCTCCTTATAACCGATAAAAATTTTCTTGCCTCCATCTTGATCTACCGGTTTTTTTCAACCGAAGTCATTATCAAACGTATAATAAACTACGACTGCAGTTTACCGCACATAACGATGCTTTTCGCAATAAAAATTCAAGATGTAATTTTGCATAATCGTTTACTTTACTTTTCCGCTTTCCGGTGCCAGTCATGGTAAAACGCGCGGTAAGAATCTTCTCGAACCGAACGTACCGCAACGAACTCTTGCAGGCTTTGTGTTCGTCTCGATGGGATCGTCGGTGCGAGCTTCCGGGATGCCGGAGGCGTTACGGCAGATCTTCGTCGCCGTGTTCTCCACGCTACCGTACAACGTCGTGTGGAAGTGGGACGGTGGCAAGATCAAGGATCTACCGGCGAACGTGAGGACGGCTGCCTGGTGGCCGCAGCAGGAGCTGCTCGGCCATCCGAAGTTACGCGCCTTCGTTTCCCACGGTGGGCTTTTGTCTCTGCACGAGGCGGCCTATCACGGCGCGCCAACTCTGATCCTGCCGGTCTTCTGCGATCACGACGGAAATGCCGCGCAGGCCGGTAAACACTTTCTCCGTCTATCTGATTAGTGACTTTTGCTCTTTGGCTTAATAACCGAGAATAATCATCGAAATTTCTGTGAAACTTTACCTTTCGAAAATAACGATAGAAAGATCGATCGTTAAAATGGTGAATGTACGGCAGAGAAAACGATTTGAGCGTCTAACTCGAAAGTGGACGCTCGAAAGTAAGCTGAAGTGGAACTTACACGCGATTTAGAGAGAGAAAAATATCTTGCGACAGTTGATTAGTTATTTATTTAATCAATCCTCCAGTCGAGTGACGCAACGTATTTTTGTATATTTATTTGATAATTACAGATAAGCTGGGTTACGCTTTGGTAATGGATCTGGCTGGCGTATCTATCGGCGTGCTTCGCGAAGGTATAATTAAAGTCGCCGCATTTCACAATAATTCATATAGAGAAGCGGCTAAGAAGAGGAGTGCGTTATTGCGCGATCTTCCGATCGGTCCAAGAGAATTGGCCACGTGGTGGGTAGAACACGTTGCCAGGCATGGCGGAGCCGATCATTTGAAAAGCTCAATTAGGTAACACATCTCTTTTTTAGATAATTATTATTGCATACATTTACATTAAATATACATATATAAAAAACTTGTTTAAATAGATATTTCGATAATACAATTAAAATTCGAAAAACAGGTTTGTAATTTTTCATTCATTTTAACGTACTTAAATTATTCAAAATAAATAATTTAAAATCACAGAATGTTTTAATTGTGTACACATTAAAGAGACTGAATAAATTAAATATGATATTACAGGTACATGAGCGTGTTCCATTATTACAGCATGGACGTTGCGATATTTTACATACTGAGTTTAATTCTGATAATCTACGTGCTCAAGAAATTATGCTGGCGAGCGATAATCAGCCAGGATACCTTCAAAAAGAAAGTAGACTGATCGATGATTTCATGGAATCCTCCGTTAAATTTATTTTATTTATTGTAGAATATAGAATATAATTTTTTAATGATAAGTATAAATATATTTAATTGGGACAAAATTGGGATTATATAAGTCAAAAAAACGATATCTCGACTTCTTAAAGATCTCTAATATATTTTTATGAGAATGTAATTAATTTTCAATTATTTTAGAATGTAAGTAGTTTTTAATTATAACTTAATTATTACGCTATTAACATAATTATTGTTT